TGAAGGATATTTATTTTAGAATTTTAGAAGTTATCTTTTAGATAGAGAGAAATAGGAAAGACTATCTTAAATGATATGTTCTAATCATTAGAAAAATTTTTGATAAACATGTAATTAAAAAGGTTATCTTTTTTAGGAAAGAGAGGAATTTTAGAAGGAGAGATAAATGTATTTTAATTTATTTATTTTATTTTTTCAATTGTATTTAAAGGGGAAAGGTCCCTCTTTGTAAACAGAGAAGAGATTGGAATTGATAAAGAAAGGACTATCTTAAATGATATGTTCTAATCATTAGAAAACTTTTTGATAAACAATGTAATTAAAAAGGTTATCTTTTTTAGGAAAGAGAAGAGTTTTAGAAGGAGAGATAAATGTTATTTTTTTTTTTTATTTTTTTTTTTCAATTGCATTTAAAGGGGAAAGGTCCCTCTTTACAAACAGAGAAGAGATTGGAATTGATAAAGAGTTGATCTTGTGAAAGGATCTTTTTGGGGTGGATTCCCTTGCAGACCTTGAGAGAGGGTATATTATCTCAAACTTTTATTTTTTTGGTTATTATTTCTCCATGCGTCAATTCGTATCAGAGCAAGTAAGATCCAGCTTTCGTAATGCCACTGAAAGCTAATGTTCCCATAGATGATCGCTTGGGACAAGCTTTAGACAATTTTCCCATAGTCATGGAGGATGTTTGAACCGAGGTACAGGACATGAATCAACGATTACAACGGTTGGAGAGCAATCTTCATTGCGAAGAGGGTGCTTGCAACCATGAAGATTTGACACCCGATTTTATGGTAGACACGAATCAATCCTGAATGTGACAATCACATTTTGATGCAAGATCGTGATCTTCTCAAGTTTTACGATGAACTTGAAAAAGAAAAAGAAATCACGATTGAGCCCAAGATCCAAGTGTTAAAAAGTATCGAGACGCATGGTGGGACTTCATTAGGTTTTTCTTATTTTATTTTTATATTTTCTTGGTTTTAGATTTGGTGTTATTTAGGTTTTTAGCTTATTTAGGGTTATTTTTGTATTTTTTTTGTTGTAGAGATTTGAGGGGTATAAAGGATATTTATTTTAGAATTTTAGGTGTTATCTTAGAGAGAAATAAGAAAGGCCTATCTCAGATGATTTGTTCTAATCTTAGAAAGTCAATCTTTTAGTTAGAAAGGATATCTTTTTTAGGAAAGAAAGGAGTTTCAAAAGGAGAGATAAATGTATTTTATTTATTTATTTTATTATTTCAATTATATCTAAAGGAGAAAGGTCTCTCTTTGTAAACAAATAAGAGATTGGAACTTAGTAAAGTTGATCTTGTGAAAATATCTTTTTGGGGTAGATTCCCTTGTAGACCTTGAGAGAGGGTATATTCTCTGTTGACTACTTGATGCAGGGAGAATAATAACAAACCAAAAAATAAAAATAAAATAGAAGTTTGATAGAATACGAATCCTTCTCTCGCAACACCATATTGTTACAAAGCACAGGACATTGTTTCCTGCTGACGAATCCCATGATCCTGAGAGAATTGTCCTCGACAATTTAACTATAAACCCGCACCCCCCTTCAGTTTTGAGAATAATACTTCTCCCCCCTTACTGGTTTTCTCAACCTCCAATTTAAATCTATTGAAGCAATAAGTAGCCTTTGATTCAAGTGAGATTAAGTAATACTGACTAATGGTGCAAGCATTGATATTGGAATTTGTCATAGGACCTCCATCCAAGGGACAAATACAAAAGTCCAAATAACTTCTAAAGGTTCTTTCAGTCTTTGTACCTTATAAAAAAAGGGGTTTTCGAGTGGATGTTACCATTCTATTGGAAGAATTAATCAAATATACATCTTTTCAAGACACCTACCACTGGAACAAGGGGAGCTAAGCAAAATCGTCTTCCTCCCATGCTATGTTCTAATATTCCTAATTCCACAATCCAACTATGGAAAATGAATGAGCATCCAGCACCCCGTGCATATCCTAGCATGGATAGTGAAGTAGACAACTCATGTTGCCTTCAACTCACTGCATATATGAGTGACGTGGCGGATCTATCTCCCACGACGTTGTAAGTCAAGGTTAATCACTAGAGAGCTTTGATTGTCTCACCTCTATTTGCTACCAGCACCCTCAACCACCATGTCATCTTTCCTCATGAGAATTCTGCCACTCGGTTTGCCGCTGCCCTTGGGCCCACCCACCTTGGCAAGTAAGCCAATGCTACTATCACTCATAGAGCGGCACCATGCCTCTAACTCCAGATGCAGAGATGAGGCATCATCAATATCTCCATCTGGTACCCAGGAATGAGGAAGTGACTCGAGTATAAAGCACCATTTGCACCTGCCAATAACACTCAAGTCACAAATCCCTACAATTATTTTCCTCAAATGCTCCCTCATGAAAACATTTGGCGGCATGTCAAATGCTCACATGAGTGCATGCGATATGGTTGTTGAGGCGGAGGCTTGCCTTACATGCCTCGTTATTGGAAAGCTTGCAGACTAACCTTTTTGGTCACAGTGCATGCGGCCTGTAGACTAACCTTTTTCGTCACAGTGCATGCTAGTCGACATAGAGTAGTGTGTATAATGATCATCACTAATCCATGCATGCACAGTTAGATTTTCCAATATTGCCTGCTCCTCAAGCAGGTACAGGAAAAAAAAAACACATATCATGCTACTCGGCATAGAGTAGTGTGTATAATGATCATCATTAATCCATGTATGAACGGTTAGATTTTGCAATACCAGGTACAGAAAAAAAAAAAACACATATCATGCTACTCGGCATAGAGTAGTGTGTTTAATGATCATCATTAATCCATGTATGAACGGTTAGCTTTTGCAATACTGCCTGCTCCTCAAGCAGGTACAGAAAAAAAAAACACATATATTCCGACTGTCTAAACATGATGTGGGCAATCCAAACATTGAAATGTCTCAAAAAACGCTAGGCGTCCCCTAGGCGGCTGGCCTGGCGCCCAGGTGGGCGCCCAGAACCTCAAGCGCACTGTAGTACAAATTTTTAAGATATATATATAAGTGTCAATTTTGTAATTTATTGCATTTGAAAATATTTTACATACATTTTTATAACAAATGTATGACATATCGGCGAAAATATTTTACATACGTTTTTATAACAAATGTATGACATATCGGCATATCACATGTTGAGAATAAACTTGTTGAAAATTTCAGTGGCAACTTTATCAATCCACAAAAAATACTTTCGATTCTCATAAATTACTTTAGATTCTCATAAATACATTTAGCATAGAGATTAAGGGTGTTTATTTCACTTTAGGAGTTAAAAATAACCCCCATCATATATTTTTACTATCGTGGGGGTCATAATGACCCCCTTTGCCCTTTTGGGCATCATAAAAAAACGAAAAAGGGTCTACAGCCTTGGACCCCTTTAGGCGACGTAAAAAAACGAAAAAGGGTCTACAACCTTGGGCACCCGCCCAAAACTAGGCATTGGGTGCCCGCCTGGGTCTCCTGTCTAGGTACATCCGCCCGTGTTGGGCATTGGGCGCCCGCCTGGCTTGCCTGTCTAGGTACATCCGCCCGTGTTGGGCTGCCTAGGTCTGGGAGTGTGGTGGTTATGTTCTAGGGCGCCTAAGCGCTAGGCGAACCGTTTTTTGAAACCATGCCTAACAGTCTATGTTTGTAAATGTGGAAAGAAAATCAAAGTAAATAAATAATCGGGACAGACGAGTTAAGAAAATCATAGTAAATAAATAACTGGGACAGACGAGTTTGTTCGCACACAGTTGAACATTCACAAAAAGTGTCATTATATGCACACAAAAAGTGTCATTATATACAAACTTCCTCGAGTCCTTCAAGAACCAAAAAAGACCCACTTCCAAAGTGACCCGAAGAAACAATTTCGCGCAACCAGATAAATCAGCATCAGATCAAATCTGGAGTGCAAGGCTACTGATCCTTGTCATCAAAATCCCACATCAAAAAAAGGCAACCTGATTGCAGCCTATAATCCAACATGGCCTGCAATCATTTTCCCTAGGCCCTATCGGCATCTGTTTTGGAGTATGCCCTGAGAAGCGTCACGAGATGCAAAGGGAACAGGAAACGTCAACCCTATAACTATCAAAATTCTCCTTGAATGATAAGGACGTACTCCAACAAGTTGGTAGACTGTGAAGGACAGGAGCAATATCATATGGTAGACTGTGAAGGACAGGGGTAGACTGTGAAGGACAGGAGCAATATCATATGGTTTCTTAAAGTATTATGGTTTGAGGAAGATTATTTGGCTACCATGGTGAGAGAGAAAGGAAAACTACGTACTGATCCACAATATTCTCTGTCCACGGAAAAGCTCCCTTGCAGAGGGGGAGTGAATAGTAATCCATTAAATATACACCAATATTACCTTCTAAAGAATAACATCACTCCAAGTCAATCATCACTCCCAGTCAATCATACTCATGCATTTCGATTTCAGTCAATCATTCACTCATACTCCTGCATTTTCAGTCAATCATTCACTCATACTCCAGTCAATCATTTACTCATACTCATTTTCAGTCAATCATTCACTCATACTTCAGTCAATCATTCACTTATACTCATTTCATTTTCACTAAGTTAGAGTTAGTAGATGCACAAAGTCAATCATTCACTCATACTCATTTCAATTTCACTAAGTTAGAGTTAGTAGATGCACAACTGCATCAGCTGAAGTCATTTACATTCAGCAGTAGCTTCAGTTCGATTTCAGTAGTTTTACTACTCTCCTCACACATTCAGAAAACGGAAACAGAATGACACGTTGAACACCATGAGAATTCCACAGTTGTCCAGGATCACTCCAGGATAACTGTTAATCACTATTACAAGTGTTCCATACTTCTTAAATCTAAAAGTCTATATTTCTGCCATAGAATGCATATAGTTTGCCACAGGATTGTCATCACTCATCAACACTATCCTTATCACTCGACCTCATGCATCCATCTAAGATTCTAGTTAATACCTGCACTTCAACAAAAAGCATCTAAGATTCATATAGTTCGCCACAGTATTGTCATCACTCATCAACACTATCCTTATCACTCGACCTCATGCATCCATCTAAGATTCTAGTTAATACCTGCACTTCAACAAAAAGCATCTAAGATTCTAGTTAATACCTGCACTTCAACAAAAAGCAATAGAACTAACATCACAATTCATCCGCAACACTCAATTACACCTCCACTTGCAGTGCAAAGCATATAAATAATATCAAATCAATCTATCATGTTGCATTTAGATAATCAACACCTAAACTTTATTATCAACCAGAGAGTAAAATGGTGTTGATAATAAAAGTGATTCTAATTAAAACCTATTCTTCCATAAAAAGCATCCAAACTTTATTATCAACCAGAGAGTAAAATGCTGTTGATAATAAAAGTGATTCTAATTAAAACCTATTCTTCCATAAAAAGCATTTTTAAAAAGCATAAAGTTATTATAAACTTTACATTTAAATAATGAATATTTGCAGTGCAAAGCATATAAATAATATCTGCAGTGCAAAGCATATAAATAATATCTGCAGTGCAAAGCATATAAATAATATCAAATCAATCTATCGGACATACTCATGTTGCATTTAGATAATCAACACCTAGTGGTTCTAATTAAAACCTATTCTTCCATAAAAAGCATAAAGTTATCATAAACTTTACATTTAAATAATGAATATTTGCAGTGCAAAGCATATAAATAATATCTGCATTGCAAAGCATATAAATAATATCAAATCAATCTATCGGACATACTCATGTTGCATTTAGATAATCAACACCTAAACTTTATTAATTTTCCATAAAAGAACTTTATTATTCTTCCATAAAAAGCATAACGTTATGATAAACTTTACATTTAAATAATGAATATTTGCAATTTATTATTAAATATTTCAAAGTTATTATAAACTTTACATTTAAATAATGAATATTTCCAATTTATTATTAAATATTTCAAGCCCTAGAAGTGATTGGTCTTGTAATATGTTTTCTGGACATTCCATTTCAAGCCCTAGAAGTGATTGATCTTGTAACATGTTGTAACATGTTTCTGGAAGTGATCGATCTTGTAACATGTTTCTGGACTGTCCATTTCAAGTATTCACAGATCTGCCAGATTGGCACTATTTTGGAGCTTCAAGTTCCATATTCAACAGCAGAAATAGATTTGCAGGCTATTATAGGGGTTTCAGGAGCCAGAACTGCATTTTCTGGCACAGTTTTGAGATGTGCCTTTACCAAATATAGTAACGCCGAGGTTCTACAAAAACTGCCTCAATTTAGTAAAGCATCATGATTTAGAAATAAACATGTGGATAACCATTACGTTATTCATGCCCTGAAAATATTTCATTTATTGGATCATCAGAAAAAACAAACACAGGAACCACTGTCATTCCACACCACAATATCACTTAATTGATTCAATTGATTCATTCATGTAACCATTAGAAAATAAACATCACTATACATTACATCAATCACTCCACAATACTCGTTCATTCATTGAATCAGCGGAGAAAGCACCCCAAGATCATTTCAACAGATATCGCAGATGGAAGGGCTAGTATTAAATCAAATCTCATCATTAAATGCCACAAGAAGGATAAGAAGGATAAGAGATAAACATGTGGATAACCATTACATTATTCATGCCCTGAAAATATTTCATTTATTGGATCATCAGAAAAAACAAACACAGGAACCACTGTCATTCCACACCACAATATCACTTAATTGATTTAATTGATTCATTCATGTAACCATTAGAAAATAAACATCACTATACATTACATCAATCACTCCACCAAGAGAATAGCCATCCAGAAAGGCAATAATATAGTCATATAGCTCTCGTCATTATGTCCCCCAAGAAGGCCAATAGAAAAGAGAACATGAATCCCATAGAAAGTATAGAACAGAAGAGCCAAGCAGAGGGAGGGGCAGTAGAGCAAGAGAATACCCAGGTATATACAAGCAAAACGAAGGCTACAGCAAAACCAACGAACAAAAAACATAAAAAAGTATAGCTATGTTTCAAGTTGTGTACATGATAAAGATCCAAGATTTAAAAAAGTAAAAGAAAACACAGTTTCTACTTAAGAGGAATTAGTCCTATGTTAAAACTGAGACACATGAATGTCCAAGCAGAGGGAGGGGAAGTAGAGCACGAGAATACCCAATCATATCCAAGCAGAGGGAGGGGAAGTAAACCAAGAGAATACCCAGTCATATCCAACCAAAGGTGCATATACAGCAAGACCAATGGAACAAAAAAACAAAAGAGAGGATAGCTATTTTGTACATGACAAAGATCCAAGATTGCAACAAGTAAAAGAAAACACAGAGGGAATCCACCTATGTCCTATGTTAAAACTGAGACACATGCATGTCCAAGCAGAGGGAGGGGAAGTAGAGCACAAGAATACCCAATCATATCCAAGCAGAGGGAGGGGAAGTAAACCAAGAGAATACCCAGTCAGGGCAAGAGAATACCCAGTCATATCCAACCAAAGGTGCATATACAGCAAGACCAATGGAACAAAAAACAAAAGAGAGGATAGCTATTTTGTACATGATAAGGATCCAAGATTGCAAAAAGTAAAAGAAAACACAGCATCTACAGAAGGGGGACAATGAAGTATCGAGAAAAAAGTTATGTCGATAAAAATACTGCATGTTGACACTTGATCAAACAACTATTTGCCCAAATCAACAGATACCTGAGCAGGAGCAGGCCTCGATGACTGTGAAGCAACATACTGAAGAATTTCAAATATCCTTGTCTGACCATAACTTGTAGTCTTTTGCCAAAATTGAACAACAATGTCCCCGGCCCTTGCCCTCAACTCAAGCAAGTTACGATCAATTTCTGTCTCATGTTTTGCAACATACGGCCGCAAGAAAGTCTCATACACATAGGATGTTCCCTATAACAATTAAAAATTAGTTCAATGAAATTCAAAAATCATAAATAACGAAAAGAGTGCTAAAAATTGCAGGTTTTTTAGAGGAGGTACCAATGTTTTTGGATACCACAAATAAACAAGGAATGCAACTTTTGCTTCACTATACATCGGTACCCTTCAAGAAAACAACAAAAATCAGAGACCATAAATCTCAGTTGTTTTCATATGCCATAAAACAGCTGTCACGCTTTAAGATATGCTTACCATGAAACAAAAGTATCTCCAACCCTCTCAAAGACAGTCAGCACTGCAACTATGATCCTTAAAAAACAAGAATTCAAACTATCAAAGTTTCCATCTCAAAATACATCATGTAAATAAAAGCATAAAGTTGCTACAATCCTACCTATCTTCATACAAAAATCCTAAGAAATCTTCCAAATATGACTAGCATCATCTAAATATGAATTCTCTAAACTAAATGGAAGCATCAAAATGTTGAATCATCCCTATCTAGGGAGGAACATCCCAATCTCCTGCATGCATTTTCATGCACAAGTGATGTTCAAGCTCTTCAGGCAAGAAATGAAGAAAATTTAATAGTCCTCTCGGACCAATGATAGCAGCCAAATAAACAATAAAAAATTTGATTAAAAACCACCCTCTGCATGAGTTTCAGAGTTGTCCATGCTTAATACTATATAGATGCAGTAATGCATATGCATGAGAAAAATATTTGGGTAATGAAGCATGGGTGCATGTCTTTAAGCATGTATGCATGTATATACAACGAACAGAAATATCTATTTTTTCCTTCTATGAAAATAACATTCAGAAGGGGGCTGATTTGGCCACTCAAGCATCTTTATGGGTGACCAAACCAGGTAACCTTGCTGTCTGTATTGGCACCCATGTTTTGTGTGGTAGAATAAAAAAAAGTGCGTGTTTACTAAAATCATGAGTGACCGAATCTGACCCCAAATCAGAAAACAACAGTGACGCATCATCAGTATGAACCCGCCACTACGGGATAATTTATAATGTAGAGACAACCCTCTGAATTACAATTTCTCTCTAGTACAGCCATCCAGACCTCAATATCACAATTATGACATGTTTTCCTTCACATGCAGCCGCTCATACAATATTAACCAGAATCAAGACTTTAAAGACCAATTAGGAAGATTGTATCCATTTCTCTACTTTCTACTACAACCACCCAAACAACACTAAGGAAGATAACATTCATGAAACTCTTACGCCTATCAAGAGTCTTCATGGAGCGGGTGAAACTCAAAGCTGAGTTGCATGGAATAGAGAAAAGAACATGTATAATTCAGGTGTGTACACTAGGAATAAGATTGTTAAAAAAACAAGTGTGATGCTCTCATTTCTTGGACCTAGTTATCCAATAATACTGGGGAATTGAAGATTGCAATACACTCGCAGATGGTGTGGTCAGAGCGCAATCAGACCATTCTTGGCCGCCGCCAGGTATTGAAGAAGTCCTAATAAATACTGTGCACAACTTGGTGCAGGATTGGAAGATGTTACAGACAATGAGGAGTAAGAGAACTACCAGATCCATGGCTTGCAACTATCCCCATTGCCACAAGGAAAAGTGAAGCTTAGCTTCAAGGGTAGTTTTAGTTCCCTAGGGAACTCGTCCTTTAATGGTGACACACTGGGAAATTGCGTATGTCATGATAAGGATATACCCAGGACTGGTAAGAACATGCAACTAAAAAATGGCAACAGAGAATGAGCCCCTAACCAGATTTAGAGTGCAACTGCAGTCCTCCTCTTGGTCTCTTTTGGGGCAAGACAATGTTGACTCAGTCAACGTCACTTGATAGGCGATTTTTTAATTTGCATAGCCCTTGAAAGACTGAAAATTTTGAATTTGCATAGTCGTTGGAAGACTGAAAGTATTGGCAAGCAAGGATATCCACAAAGACTCTTTTAATAGAGAATTGTTCCCTTCTAACCATCATGTTTATCAGCATCAGCACTTTGAGTTGCCTTCTTGTGTTCTTTCCCTCTTTCCCTTCACCTTACATATAACTTCATTTGTTGGTGCATATTATTTCCACTTTGTGCAACTTAAAATATACTCCCTTTTAATCATTGTAAGGAGAATAATAGAAAACAAAAAAAACAATATAATGCACCAATTAAAAAAAAATGCAGATCAGAGTATACTTCCACCTTGTGCAACTTGAAATATTTAATTGCTGCAATGTTAATAATAAAATTTCAAATAAAACAATATAATGCACCAATTAAAAAGAAAAGGCAGAAACAAAAAGGTCCTTTTACAGTTATCTATCTCCAAATGTTTGACCAGTCTAGTAACAATAAATAAGAAAGCCAGACATTTACAAAGTAAAACAAACTGCACTTTATTCTACAGCTTTAACAAAATGCATATATATTATATAAACAATCCAATTTAATTTCCACATTGTTGATTGACTTATGGGTCTTTCTTTGGATCGCCCAAATGTCTTAAAGGTTAAAGGTCCTAGAAGTTCGGAACTCAGAGTGAATGTTAAAATCCTACTGCACATATCCTCTGACAAGATGTAATGGCATTCCTCAAAGTTTGAACCTCAAGAAAAGCAAAACCAAAGAGGATAGCAACCAAAAAAATTTTGTACCAATATAAATGCCATTAGATGCACCCAATGACCCATGACAAATGTACAAATGAAAGAAACAAGAGAAGTGCCTACCAATATTGACACCAAAAACATAGTTGATCAATCTCTGGCTTGTTTTTTTCCACTGTTTTGAAGCAGGCATATGCAGGGTATGTGTACCCTAAAGCCAATCTGCAAGTAGCACCACATAAAGATATTGAAAATGAAAAACAAATATGTAGGAGTGTAATAAAAGAACAAAAAACAAAAATCGCATATTTAACATTTGTGTCAAGCAAATTAAAATTCTAGAACATTAAGAGATACATACACAAGAGCCCTGGTGACAAAAGATCCCATCATTTTGGTGTCTTATCATATAACAAAATTTTTTGTTGCTCTTTTCCAAATCCGATCCATAGATAAGCAGCTCTCTCTGGCTTCTACTCAGTTCCTAAGTCACAAATTGCAAGATCTTCAATATTTAGACCTAACTAACCAATCCAAAGCAGGTAAAACAGTCCATAATCACAAAATAATTGGCATAACAATAATAAAAACAAATTAAAAATTAGTAACGGCACACGCCACATATAAGCAACATATTTACAGAAGGGGCTACAAGCCAAATTTTTGACCTGTAAAGGCCAAACCTCGCCAAAAGTTTTGACCTGTAAAGGCCAAACCACACAAGAAAAGAAATATCCTAAGCTATGACCCAAGCCAGAGAAATTGATGGCGAGGAGAAAGAAAAGCAAACAATCAGTTTGAATTTAGGAATTCCAATTAACAAGCCAAAGTTATTCAAAAATAAATAAATCAATAACAGAAATGGTGCACAGTGCAAAGACCACAAAAAGTAGGCTAAAGCAACAAAATGCTAAAAGATGCAACTCAATGTCTATCCTCTCTTATTGTTTTTTACTTTTTTTACTTGATGGAAAAAATTTCTAACCTCTTTCTTGATTTTCAAAAATTTCAAACCTCTTTCTTGATTTTCAAAATATAAACACTCAAAAAAAGGCATTCAGGAGAGAATGCAACAATAAAATACTGACAATGGAAACCAAGAAACAAGAACCACTAAACACCGTAAAAAAAGCATAATGTAATAAATCGCCAATGTTCAATCAGCCCCATCCAGTATGAGATGAACAAGAAACAAATCAAAAGAGTAAGAAGTTAAACCAAAAAAAAAACATTTCAACGAGGTGGCCACAAGTTCACAGGGAAAGAAAAAGAAAAACATTCACAACAAAAATAGGAACAGGTAAACATCAAAGGAAGAAACCCAAAAAAATTAAAATTAAAAATTCAGAGGAAGAAAAAAAAATAAAATTAAAAAAGAAAAAGTTTCCCTCACATAAACAAACAAAGAATTCCCCTTAAGTTCGCATTTTACAAAAAGGCGAGCACGAAGCAGATGGATCTCAGCAGAACAAATTTAGTAACAGAGTATTAATAACAATGTCATTCCTTGACAGCCTACTGAAATAAAATATCTGCAGAAGTAAACAATCTCGACCAAAAAAAGAAAAAGGAAAGAAAATCCAGATAGATATAAGAGAATTGGAGCAGATAAATATGATTTCTTGCCTAAAACCAACCATATCTAAATCAAATATAATAATAATTGAAGTTTTAACCAGACAACATAAATTTTAACAAAACTACACATTTGCAGATGTTCAAAACCAGAGCAATTGAAGTCAGCAGATGACAATTACTCAACATAATAACCAGAGTTTTAACATCATCCAAGAAAAAAAAGGAACACCAAACAAAAAATATCAGAGAACAAAACAGCAGAAACAAACCATTATTTGAAGATTTCATCAATATCAAAGCAATGCCACAAAAGAAACCATGAGAATAGAATCATATCAAACTAAAAAACATTTCATTGGAAGGGAAACTGTAAGCCCGGAACAACTAGTTGCAATGGGGAAAAGTTAAATATTCGCATCACTATCAATAAAATTCAACACATTCTCCAAAACAATGCCCTAAGTTAATGATAACTATTCCACAAAATAGGAAAAATTGAACAATTAACTCCTGAAAGAACAGATGTTCCACAAAAGAACTGCAAAATTACACAGAACTAATAAAGTAACTATGGAAAGCATCAATCAAACCAGAAGTCTATGACAAGAAAACACGGACCAAAAATTAAAACAGATTGACATTCAAAATCATTTTGCAAAACATTCACTACATTCTACATATACAATGCCTGACATTCGGCTGATAATTATCACACAAAATCAAAAAATATAAGGATAAGTCCTGAAAGAAGCATGCCAATCATCAAACATCTTTCCAAAAAGCATATGAGTGAAACATAATGTTACAGAGGAACAATGGAAAAACATAAATCCTTGACATCAGAAATAGATGTAAGATTACATAAAACTTAGGGGGAAATGAGACATTGAAATGGAGAGAGAGAAGCCTATATCCAGAAGAGAATAAACTTGAAACAAAATCTAGAGAAAGAGTTAGGGCAAAAAGAGACAAGGAGTGAAAGAGAGAAGGCTGAGAAAAAAGCGTTTGAAAAGTGAAGTTACAGGAAGAGAACGACAAGAGGCGCACCTTAATGTGGGAAGCCTCCAATGTCAGAGAAAGCCGAGAGAGAGAGACGCCTGTGAAGAAATCAGAGGACTCTGAAGAGAGTGAAATGATCTAGAGAAAGAGTATACTGCGGTTTTAGAGAGAGAAGAAGATAAGGACTGCAATTGAAGAGAGTATTTTTTACAGAGAGAAGAGAAGGGATAGTGAGTGTTTTCGAGAAAGAAGAAGATGAGGGCTGCAAGAGAGATAGACGTGTTTTTAGAGAGAGAAGGACTGCAATTGAAAGGCCGGAGCGTCGCGGCCGCAGTTGAAGTGGAGTCCCGTTAAAGCGAAATCGGCAACCTAGTAGTAGGGGCGGAGTAGAGAGAGAAGCCTTGTAATTTTGAATTCCACGATTCTCTCTCTATCTCTCTTCTCTCTCAATCACTCACGGAAGAGATTTAATACCACTTTTTCGTCTCCTACACTAGGTTATTCTTTCCTTTTTTTAGTTCTCTCAACCATAATTTGTAGGGACTATCAATAAATCGGCTCACTATAAAATTAAAAATAAATTATTTTTATTTTAAAAAATTAGATAAAAAAATCAGATAAAAAATACTTTATATAAAAATATCACCAATGTATCATACTATGCTCAAAAAATCGGAGTAAAAAAAAATTTAAAAGATTAGAAACTTTGAAACTCTAAAAAATTAAAATTATGTCAAAATCATCAAAAAAAATATATACCATACCATATAAATTTACTCATTAAGTACTGTAACATATATCGCACTTAGTAGGTGCCAAAGAAAATACAAGAATGTTTTTTCCTCATTAAATTTTTTAACTATGCTATGCTGACTAGGGTATTCTATAACTATGATTAAAGTTTATATATATTTCTTTAATTGAAAGGAGGGCTGGGCTCGTAGCCATTTGGTTTCATATTGCTATGTTTTTAGAGAGAGAAGAGGAAGAGGGTGGTTTTTGGTTTGCACGATGAAACTAGAAACAGGAAACGCTAGATTATTGGTTGGTGGATTCGATCAGTAACTCTATGGTTTCGTTTTGGGGCTTCAAATGATAACAGGTCTATAAGATGAGATCAAGAGGGCTGGAAAACCTAAATCATTCTCTATTGAAGATGGGATTGTGAACTCTATGATTTCAAGGAGTTCCGAAATGGTCAATAATTCTAAAATTTTGGTCGAGACCTTGGTCGACCTTGTATCAAACAGTTATTGGTATCAAATGGATTTTGGTCGAGACTTTTAGGGTCTCTTCCTGTTGTGGTTGATAAATTCTAGGGTTTCTGATATCAAAGAGATTCTAGGGTGGGAGAATGAAGAAAATACAAGGGAGGAGGAGAAATTGGAAGAAGAGAGGTTTTAGGCGGAGATTGATCTCTCTACTACTTTACGCTCATTCTCACAGGGAAAAGAAAATATCTTTCAAAAAAAATTACAGGTAGAAAAAACACGATGTTTTGGTGTGGTTTAAATCGTTATACAAAAAAATCGCGTTTACAACGTCTTTTATGAAAAACACGTGATTTTTCTTGAATTTTTCAAAACATCGTAGTTTTATACGGTTTTCATAAAATCACCAAATTTTTAAAAAAATTGTCGTTTAATCGGCGATTTGCTAACTATGCTCTCAACCATTCGCTCCATTTCTTGACCCAAAAAAAAAAACCATTCTCTCTCTTATTTCTCTCTCCTTATCCATTATGTTCTCATTTAATTACTTTATTTTCAAATTACTTTTCCCTATAAACTCAAGAGATTTTCAAATTTAAAACCAAAATATTATTGCGTCACTGTGGTAGACGTAACCCCTACCACCAAATCACTCTACTGGAGAGAAATATTTTTTGAATTATACTATAGTGAAAAGATGATCTCTTGACTAAACAAAGACCGTCCAATTTTTTGATAGAAAGATCTAAGTGTTTAAAAACTGAAAATCCAAACCTAGTTTTTGAAAATGATCATTTTGGATTTTTTCACCATGATCCCAAATTTTTCAAATTGAAAGAACCCTCTCTAGTAAATCTATTGTCCGATGGAGTAAATGAACAACATGATCCCGTGGGAACAAAATATCTTGTTAACGTATTGGAGTTATTTTCATTTGAGCCCTCTATAAATATCCAAAAGTAATTTAGGAACTGAAAATCCAAATCTATTTTTTGAAATGGTAATTTGGATATTTTCACGAGGATGCCACAAATACTCAAATTGAAAGAACTCCCAGGTCAATCTTCAATCCGATGGAGTCAAGTAACACCATGATCATGTGGGAACATAATATCTAGTTGGCGTAGGAGTTATATTCATTTAAGCCCTCCATAAAAATCTAAAAGTATCCACGTATCTAAACGTGACTGCACCGGAGGGCAACGTATCTTCTATGTACCGAAACCCGGACCCGACCCAAAGACTAAAAATATATACATTTAAGTACTATGTTAAATATATAATGGTGTGGAAGGGTCTCATAAGATCATTACTCTATTTGAAAATTATAATAAAAATATATAATTAAATTTATTTAAATATTGTTACTATATTATATATTAAATTTCGTTTAAATAAGGAAAAATTACATATATATCCGTTAAAGTTTTCGTTATTACCAAAATACCAAATAGTTTCCGTTATTATTGAAATATTCGTTTTTTCACTTCATAACAAAAAAATTTAAAAATACTTTTTTACCTTTTTTCGGTTTTTGAACTACCGAAAATAGGCAGAAGCTTTGAATTTGCATTTTTATTTTCGGTTGTTGAACAACCGAAAATGTCTTATTTTCGGTTGTTGAACAACCGAATATAGAAACTGCATATGCCATAAGCTTGCTAGAATATGTAGTCCTATTTTCGGTTGTTCAATATCCGAAAATATCATAAAATGTTCTATTTTAGGTTGTTGAGAAGCTTGGAATTTGCATTCTTATTTTCGGTTGTTCAACAATAAAAAATATGACCTTTTTTTATGTTGAACAAATGAAAATATGACAATTTCAAATGTTGAACAACAAAAAATAGAACTACGTAATCCATAAGCTTAAACGAATCCCATTATTTTTGGTTGTTCAAGAACCGAAATTAGCTTATTTTCGGTTTTTAAACAATCGAAAATAGTTGGAGTTTTGATTGTTCAAAAACCGAAAAAGGGTAAAAAAACTCCTTTCTAAAAATTTTTGTTATGAAGTGAAAAAACGGAAATTCCAGTAAAAATGGATACTATTTGTTATTTTGATAATAACATAAACTATAAAGCATATATATATGTCCAATTTTTGAACCCATACTCAAGCCCAAGTCGGCTCCAGGTCCATTGCCAACCCTACAAAAACCATAAAAAAATTGGACATGCAAACAATTCGTGTCTATAAGCTTTTGGTGAAAGGCTACACCATATTGAGTGAAGACAATTCATCGCCCTGGTGATCCCTAGGGGACACGGTGACATTTTGGAACAATTGAGGATGGATGATTTGCCAAATATAGGAAGAATTACTTGGGATATCTTTCGAACAACCATTTTGTGGGAGTTGTGGTTGGAAAGAAACATTATTTCCGAGATAATTAAAAGCATAATCGAGTTGGTTTTAAATTAGGAAGGATGGAAGGGGGATATCTAAGGTTAAGCTTACTTTTACTTGCCTAATCTCTTAAATCTTTTTTTTTGTTAAAGTAAGGCCCAAGGGAAGGTAAGTACCTCAAGTTGGATGCATAAAATTAAATTTCGATGAAAGCTCTTTGGGGAATCTCGGACTAGCAAGGATTGGTGGAGTTTTTTGAAATAGTGGTGGTGAAACAATATTATACTATGTTGGTCCAAAAGGGTATGCTACAGAAAATTATGCGGAGTTGGCTACTCTTATCTAGGTATTAAAATTGGTAGTGGATTTTGTGAGATTGAAGGGGATTCTCCAATGTTATTAATTGGTCCAAGAAGGAGGTGAGACCAACGTAGAAACTTAGGGGTGGCAATGGATTCGGACCCGACCCGTGACCCAAGGGATATACCTGATGCCGGTTCAAAAATTTGACTTGGGAGGTCGGATCCGCGTCCAAATGTTGGACGCAAAGCACTATTCAGGTCCAGGTCAGGGTCTGATCAGGTCCAGCTCCGGTAATATCATTTGGGTCCCAATATAAACAATATATTTAGATAGAGGTAAATGCATAAATATTTTAATTTTTAAGTTAGATATGAGTCCCACACTGTATTTATTGGTCCAAGTCTCGGCCCGGGTCTTACACTATACTTTTTATATTTTAGGCAATCCAGAAGTTAAATAATATTATGAAGTCCTTATCCTTCACTCTCGCCAAAGTTTCTCACTCATTATTATTACTCTCTTCCCTCTCTAACTCTCTCTCTCTCTTTATGGGATAACAAGCCTCTCTTCTCTCTCCAACCACGCCCTATAGTCCACGAGCTCATTTTCAAGGTGTTTTTCACTTCATACTTGGGATAAGACGTAGAATCTCGGGAGAATGTGAGCCTTCTATTAAGATCCACTCGCGGCTTTGATTTGAACTTCACGGAGGATATATAGGGTACGAATAGAAGTTATCAAGATCAATACAGAATACTTTCATCGCAAATTTTGTAACTTGAAGTAAAAACCAAGACACTACCAATTACTTGTTAAAAACTTTACAGGAAAATGGACGTGTCACATCTTTAGAGGGCATGCTCCTTTTGTGGCGCCCCTTTCACAATATTTAAAAGTCGTTGCCTCCATTGATGTTGTTTTTTAGGCCGTTCCAAAAGTGTAATAAACACACGAGTCCTACAGTTGGGAAGTCAAATTGTAGAGAAACAATGACCATTTGTGGAATCACATAAAAATAATAATTATTTATAAAACGAAAATATCTGTCCAAAGTCAACAATCAGCAAGACGGCATATGTCAAAACCCATCGAAAAATGTAATTTCGCTATATAAGACCTCCGATTGGATTGTCACGAGATACAATAAAAATAGGACGTTGAAATGATTGTTCATTTTTAAATGTTTATATATTTGTCAAATCTGCAACACTTTTGTTTCTCAACGGGGAGTCAAATGTACACCAATTTCAAATTTCAAATTTCAAATTTTATAATCAAAAGCCAAAATTGATTTTCAAGCCATCCTAGAGGTTTTCAGCCGGGAGAATCATTTCCCGACAGGGTTTTGCATAATATCACAAATTCCACAAGGCTTTGTTAAATGAAACTTTTATTTGTAAACTCCCAAGCATAGTAGATGCCATTAAGGGTTTCTTTGGCATTTACTAAATGGAAAAGATTTTTCTTATGAGGGAGTCTCTATGCCCACACACATATTTAGTATATGTGACCCAGGGTCTCGGCCATCAGATCTGAATAGATGGTTTGAGCAGTGTTCACAAAATCGAACCGAAATAGTT